GAAGACTGGCAACTCTGCCAGAATCCAAGCGACAGATGCAGTAGCGGTGCGCTCGAGTGAAGGTAGAAGTAATACATAGAAAAAAATGAGCAAATACACAAACCTTTCTTCTGAGGTTGTAATCTTTGCTATCAAATCATTCGAAGCATTTACCTTTAAGCGGCAGATGACGCGATTGTGTCGGTCTCATAGCGGTCGTATGAGAAAATGGAAGAGTTGCCACAAAATATGCAGCAGCAACACGCCGCAGCTCTTGTACGGTACACAGAATGACAATTGTATCATCAATAAGATGTTGCACATTTGTATGGTTGAAGTCGAATTAATTTCCGATCTTTGACCAATTTTTTTTTTTAACTAGTTCGTTTATTTACTAGGCGCAGTCGTGTGTGACACTTTGCGGAGCCAAAATCAGTAATGTTTGATTTACATTTTAAATAGCAGTATTTCTAGGTTAGTATTGGGTACCAATTACTCGTGGCGGGCTCGAGGTTAATGGGTAACAATTTCAATTGGAAGGATCTAGGTAGGAAACTGGTTTCTGAAGCCTCCTTCAGATACTACTCTCGGACGGTTGACCAAATCCTGACTGGGCAGGGGCAAGTAGCACAGGAACAGGAGGATAATAAGACTGGGACACAATGGCGGGAAATTGTATGGAAAGGAGGGGATAGTCACATCAGACAAACAAAGGAATTCGTAGATCGCTTGCATGTAGGGAAGATCATGTGTTCCCAATACATCTCTTACTTCACGGAAGGGTTGTCTACCTCGGGCCACTAGGGTATCCAATAGTCGTGCTCTGGAGGCGTCATTACCCGGGCAATACCAAACTGCGTGATCGATGTCATCATAACCGGTTCTGCACCTACATATATTGCTGTCAACGAGGTTTATTCTATAGCGATGTGCGTCTAGCGAGTAGTGGTTGGACATAAGTCTTGACATCACTCGAATGAATCCCCGACTTACATCCAGACCTTTGAACCACGCTCTCGAAGAAACATTTGGAATAATGGAATGTAACCACCGCCCAAGAGAATTATTTGTCCAATCGTTTTGCCAACTTAAAAGAGAACTCTGACGTACTAATGGGAAAAATTCATCATGTGAAATTCTTCTATCATAAATCTCGCCTTGTTGTGCGCCCACCTTTGCGAGAGAGTCTGCCTTCTCATTGCCTGGGATTGAGCAATGTGAGGGGACCCATACAAAGGTAATCATATATTATCTTTCGACCAGCAAACTCATCTGCTCCCTTACCTTTGAAAGGAAATAAGATGAGTGCCTACATTGTTTCATCGACCGAATAGCCTCAATTGAACTGGGACTATCCGAGAAGATGAAGTAATGGTCTATGGGCATATCGGAAATCATCCCCAATGCGAAGTTGATTGCTGCTAGCTCAGCAACATAAACGGAACAAGATTCCTGAAGTTTCCGAAAGGCGGTTGAGTATTCATTGAAGACGCCGAAGCCAGTGGATCCATCAATGCGTGATCCATCAGTGAAAAATCTTGTATTGCAATTGACTTGTTGGTACTTTTCAGCAAAAATGCGGGGAATTGAGATAGGTCGAAGTTGATCTGGAACTCCTTGAATAGCCTGTTTCATGGAGAGATCATAGTCAATGGGGGAACTGTAGTTAGTAAAGCATACACGAGAGGGGTTATAGCAAGGAAGGCTAATATCCGATGACATATAATTAAGATAGATTCGCACGAATCTAGACTGGATGCTCAATTCGAGCATTTCTTCGAAGTTTTCAATCACAAGGTTGTTACTGACACTACATTTAATCAATATTCTTAATGAGAGCTCCCAGAAACTGTTCTGCAGGGGTTTTACGCCCGCTAGGACCTCTAGGCTCATATTGTGTGCTGAATGCATACAGCCAAGGACAACGATATTGAATACGTTCCAATTTGATTAGGTGGCTTTTTCTTGCCGAGAGGAAGCAAAAAGAAGCATACTCAAGAACTGAAAGAATAGTCGTTTTCTATAGTTTAATGAGGTCTTCCGGGTGAGCACCCCACCATGTCCCGGAAATTGATCGTAGAAAGTTGATCCTTTGTTGACACTTTTGTTTCAAACACGTAATGTGGCTACCCCAAGTGCATTTTGAATCAAACCAGACTCCAAGGTATTTGAAAGTTAAAGATTGGGTAATGTCTCTGCCCAAAATATTTAGACGCAGTTGGGCTGGAAACCGCTTCCTTGTAAACACTACCAATTCAGTTTTTTGCGGTGAAAACTCGATCCCTAAATTTCTTGCCCAGAGAGACAGATTATTTAGGGAATTTTGCAATGGTCTTTGCAAGATTTCTGCACGTGGACCTCTCATGGAAACCACGGCATCATCTGCAAGCTGTCTAAACGTGCATTGATTATCTAAGCAGTTATCAATATTAAACATGAACCTTGGGGTAAGCCCATGTAGCTAATTCTAGAAGTTGTCAGTTGACCTAGATTGAAGGACATTTGTTTTTCTGACAGCAAATTATACAAGAAATTATTCAAAATACCGGGTAATCCACTACTGTGCAAATTGTCTGACAGTATGTCTATGGAAACCGAATCAAATGCGCCCTTAATATCCAAAAAGACTGAAGCCAATTGCTCCTTGTGCGCAAAGGCCAGTTGAATATCAGATGAAAGCATCGCTAGACAATCGTTTGTTCCTTTACTCTTCCGGAAACCAAATTGCGTATTTGAAAGTAGATTGTTTGATTCAACCCAATGGTCAAGTCTTAATAGGATCATTTTATCTAATAATTTCCTCAGGCATCATAACATAGAGATCGGACGGTAAGAATTGTGATCAGACGCTGGTTTCCCAGGCTTTTAAATAGCTATTGCTTTAAACTGTCTCCATGCTGGTGGAACTATATTTAATTCCATAAATGAATTATATAGGTTAAGTAATCGTCTTTTAGCGATATCGGGGAGGTTTTTTAGAAGGTCAAATTTGATCATATCGCTTCCCGGAGCAGAGTTATTCGATGAAAGAAGTGCCATTGAAAATTCCAGCATTGTGAATGGTTCATCCATAGAACCGTTACTTCGGGCTGTATCCCGTAAAGTTGGTTGTGCTGGAACAGAATCTGGACAAACCTTTTTAGCGAAGTCGAATATCCATTGGGAGGAGTATTCTTCACTCTCATTGGAAGATGAGCGGTTTCGCATATAGCGAGCCTTTTTCCAAAGCGTTGTCATTGAGGTTTCTCTAGAAAGTCCCTCGATAAAAGTACGCCAGTAATTTCGTTTCTTTGCTTTTAGTAAGTTTTTAAGCTTTTTTTCAAGCTTTAGATACTTTTCAAAAAGCTCAGATCTTTCATGTCTACGATAATCTTTTAAAGGCATCGGATTTCTCAAGATACAACTTTGTGCATTCGTCATTCAAATCAAATTTGACACAATTGTTGCGCGCCTCAAAAAGCAGTGGAAGCCGGGGCAGAGGTGGTAAAGAAACTTATTTTTACCAAAAAAAAAAATTTCACTACGAAAACGTATAGGGGAAATATGTCGAGACAGTTTTCCCTATATAATTTCTATGACATTTACCATCTCTGGTAGGGAGTTGTAAAGTTAACAATTTACCAAGTTGTTCATTGTTCGCGTGCATGTCATACGTGGCAGCGGGCCCAAATCAGCAAAACTAATGGGTTGGACCCGGAACATGCTGCACGCAAACCAAAAATTTATTACAATCATTGTTAGTTCCATTTCCTATCATCCTCTGCTCATGAACATCACATCGTTGGACCTCGACATATACCTCACTTATGCTTAGAAATTACTCAAAGTTCAGCAATAACACTTATAAATTACTCAAAGTTACTCATACATGGGCACTCAGAGAAGTATGTACGTGCACGTGAAAAAAAAAAAAGATTCCCTCCTCGCTTAATTTCCTCAATCGGAAGGGGAATATATTCTATTCTTAAAATAACGATAAATACTTTCTTTGCAAGGCGGTGGGACACTGGATGAATTCCTGTCAGAACCGGAAGGCTCACAAGCAACCGGAAGTGGAAAAATATGTTACGAAAATGCAAGACCAAGTAAACAAACAAAGCAAGTCCATAAACGGCCACCACGGCTATACATGCACCACATCGAATTTTCAAATACACAAATCTCGGAAATCAGTGCTTCATTTCACCAGAAATTGCCACTTCAGCAATATTTTTAAATGCTATATGATTTGTTTGTAGATTTATATTGCATAGCACAAAAAACAACTTTGATATACATGCATTCTGGTTGTCTGGTTTTACTGATCACTGAGGCAAACATGGGTCCTCCCTTGGCTCAGTCGGTAAAGGCGCAGCTACAAAGCAAGACCATGCTGGAGGTGGCTGGGTTCGAGTCCCGGTCCGGTCTAGTGGGAAATTTCTCGACTTCCCTGGGCATAGAGATTGTATTTGCCACACAATTATATACTAATGCAAAAATAGTGCAGGCATCGAAAGTAATACTTCTTTGGAAATTCTTGGAATTTTTTTTTTAATTAGTTGATTTTTCGCTATTTGGCGTGAATTTGAAGGTCTTTGAGGAACCGCTTCCCGTGCACTAAAAGAGCTTCAAATTTTAGGATGATATTTCCCCAAACAAAGATTCAAGGCGTATGCGTTTGAAAGTCATGAAATTACCTGATTTGGGCCTTCCTAATGTACAATAAACCTTCCGACAGTGTTCACCATAACGTATGAAAAATTGTCATAAAAAATGTCTTAGCTTCAACTGGAACTTTACGTTCTCTCTCAACTTACTTTCCTATGACTTATAATACCATAATACTGTCCATAAAAGCATCAACAGTCACATATTTGGTTGCTTTCCTATTGTAGTGGGACTGTAATGCGTTTATGGGTAGTACATATATTCCCCAGTTTTTTTTTTTGTTATTGTGAGCTTTGGGATTCCTATTGTAATTGTCAAACATTAAATAATGTAAATTACGAATATTTTTGTCGTTTTTTCTGTATGTATTTCAGTACGGTCGGCAAAACATCGAAATTGTTCGCAAGAAGCAGTATGCCAACCTCAACACGTCGGAATGTGAGGATTCCTCTCCGGCAAAAAGCGAATCCAGTGACAGTTGCACCACCGACAGTTCAGCAAAGCCCAGTGAAACTTCGGTCAACGGTGACGTAACCAAACCCATACAAAATGGAGATATTGCCAATGGCGGTAACTCGGTGATAAGTCGTGTTGAGTCTCTTATCCTTTTGCCGGACGTTGAAGGTGTTCGGAGTAAAAGCCGTGAATCGAACAATGAGGACGTATGTAGAAATGTTATGTTTATTTATTGCAATGATTTGCTAAAAGCTTTTTTAACTTTCCATTTCAGGACAACGATTCATTTGAATTCAATCTATCGAATTGCTTGGATTATGTTAGATCCGGCATGGAAGCCATCATTGAAGACGAGGTGACCAGCCGATTCGAAGCCGAAGAGCTCAAAAATTGGAATCTTCTCACGAGAACGAACAGACACTACGAGTTCATATCATGGCGTCTGACTGTCATTTGGGTGATCGGATTCTTCATCCGATACGTCATTCTCATGCCTTGTAGAGTATTTATTTGCTTCGTTGGTGTAAGTGTTGAAATCCGGTATATTTTTCTTAATTACACATTTTACACTTTTCTTTTCTTAACATTCGGTTCCTCCCAGTTGTCCATGGCTAGAAGTTTATGATTTTTTACCAAAAAAATCATCTTGACATTTATAGCTATCTTGGACAATGTTTGGTACCAACTACAGCATCTTTACAACGCATTATACACTGCCCATAAATGCATAACAGTCCCATGTAACTTTTTGGCAAAAACTAGTTATCTTCTGGAATCGATTATTCACTAATTGAATTTTGATATGTGCACATAAAGTGAATTGTTTTATTTTGAAAATATCGTAAAAAACACCAAAACTTGGTTGTCTCAACCATAAGATACCATGAAAGAAAAAAATAAACTGCGTTTTTCTCGGCTTGCTGTATTCCATATGGGACTGTTATGCGTTTATGGGCAGTACACCACTTCTACAAATCCCAATACATTCAACTGTTCTCTTAGGTCGTGTACTGCGTAATTGGATTTGCGTTCGTCGGAATTATCCCCAACCGCCAACTTCGAATAAAGGCAAACGACTATGTTTTCAAACATACCTTCCGTATGATCTGTCGTTCTCTATCTGCAGTGATTAACTTTCATAATTTAGAATACAAACCGAAAAACTGCGGTTTTTGCGTTGCGAATCATACAACGCCTATTGATATCGCAGTTCTTTCAACTGATCACTCGTATTCTTTGGTAAATGAATGCGAAATTGTTTATCTCGTCTAAATATTAATGTACTTTTAAGACTATTATAAAATTAACGACTGATGGTACATATTATGGTTTGGTCATTCTGCTCACTATGTGGCGTCCTGGGAATGATTTTAGTTGCTTCGATTCTTCTATCGACTCATTGGTCGAGATGTGAACGCATTTTGTAAATATGATCATGATAAAGATGCACGCTTAATCAGACATGCTTTTACCTCCTATTTGGATAGTGATGCGCACATGATAACCAGCGAGTTTTTAGTATCATCGAAAACTTTAAATGAACTAGCTAGGCTCGAAAAAAAAAATACTTATGGATTACAATACCTATACTCCCAGCAGTTCTCATAATAGAAAATTAACGTTTTCTCAACCAAAAAAATGTTGTCATATCAGACTTCTTTCTTGATTATCGAGACCTTGATTTAATGCTGATTCGGTGGTAAGCAATACAAAATTACGGTAAAATAAGCGGTAAAAGCATTTTGAACATACTGCATCTCACACGTACCACCGGAATGCCAACCGAACACTGTACTTGCTGATATGTATGAAGGCAAAAAAAGCATTGTGATCGTCCCCAAAATCACCGGTACACTAAAAATTCCTCACAGTCACTTACATCCACACCAACTACGTCATTACGCCTACCCTGTTACGCATTCATAGTGCTCCATTCCATTGTATATATTACAACTATTCGTCTATTGAATCATTACTCGCATCTAGGTCATGTGGTTGACATTATGCACGGCACTGGTTGGTTGCATACCGGAAGGACCCACCAAGCGATGGATGGTGAAAATGGTACTGATACAATGTTTCGGTGTACTTTCGAGTGCATTATCATCCGTTGTCAATTATCATAACATTGAAAATCGCCCATTAAATGGCATCTGCGTGGCGAATCACACCAGTCCTATCGATGTACTTATGTTGATGTGTGATAACTGTTATTCGTTGGTGAGTAATTCCCTCTTCACATATTGCATCGAATGCGTGTTTGGTTTTATAGACAGCCTTGTTTAAATTTAAATTAAAAAAAACTGCTTCCCACTTATAATAAGCACTGACCTTATAAAAAGAGATTTGTGTCTCGCTCACCGTCACAGTATGTTTTTTTTTGCGATACAGATTGGTCAAAGGCATGGTGGATTCTTAGGTGTTCTTCAAAGAGCACTAGCCCGGGCTTCCCCTCATATTTGGTTCGAGCGTGCTGAGGCTAAAGACAGAATGGCAGTTGCTAAGAGGTATTATACCCACTATACACTTAATCTTGATAATCTCCCACTCCTTCCAATTTTTCAGGCTAAAGGAGCACGTATCAGATCCGACAAACCCACCGATTCTCATCTTTCCGGAGGGCACCTGTATTAATAACACATCTGTGATGCAATTTAAAAAAGGAAGCTTTGAAGTGGGTGGCGTGATATATCCGGTAGCTATCAAGTAAGTATGACTATTTTCTAATATTCGTAAAATTAAACGGCAGTGCAGCCGGTAGCCAATTCCTCTAGTGTCAAAAATATGCTTCCTACAGATTTACGGTCTTCGACAAAGTTGCTCGGTGTACTATAAGGGTCAACTTTTGGACGGTTTCCGATTAGTTCGTATTTCCACCGCATAGAAGGTGCACAATTCTATCTTTTTTTTTAATGGACGGTTTCTTCAAAAAAGTTGTGCATTTCATAATGCTGATGAATGTTGCCGAAAACATCAAAGACTTCGCGTAACATTTGAAAACGGCCTATCCTCGTTTACCACGGCAACATAAACGAATTTCTCGCTAAGCTCGCAGTACAGTTCGACAGAAGATGATGTTAGCTTGCGCCTGAAAAAACACACTCGATGGGAAATTCATTTGCAGTCAGGTTATTCGCGAAAGAGAAAATTGATGAAGAAAATCAATCAACAATGATATGCCCTTTTCCCGTGTTGTGCGAGAAAAAAAGTCATTTCCACCATTTTTAACGCATACAACTCAAAGGTGTAATTTTTTACGAAGTACATTAATGAAAAGCTAGAAGTTACTCAATTCGTCAACAGTTTGAGATGCTACATTCATTTTGTTCAAAATATTTACAAAAAAATGTGGAAAAATAGTAGTGCATTAAAATGGGTCAGAAAAAGGCAGTCATTTTTATTAGAGAGATTTGGGTTTTTTTTTTTTGAGCAGTGTAAACGGTAAAAACACACATTTTTATGAAACGTCATTTGAATATAAAAAAAAATGTTTAAAATATATTCAAATACGGTTTAACACAAATGCCTGCTGTTCCCTATTGAACTATACGCTTAACAGACCCTTTTGGATTTTGCCCCAGATTATAGGCAATATACTGCCCATAATCGCATATCAGTCCCATATGGATAGGAAATCAAGCAAAGATGAGACTGATATGCGATTATGGGTAGTATATGTCATTTTCAGTTAATCATAGGTTTTGGATGTATTCAATAACATTTCTCAGCATTATGAAAAGCATAAATTTGCCGAAGACAACATCCTTGTTGGACGTTCCGTGTAGTAGTAAATTCAGTGGACTTCAAGTTGGTATTCAACCAAATTTTGGGAGGCGGATCTTTCGTGGGAAGGGATCATTGCAAAAATGTGTCCATGAAAGGTCTTCAAACCTATGGATAGTGTATTGTATAATTTACACATTAATACGGCGCTAATACGAAAATATTCAAGTCGTACTATCATAAATCTAGAAATCCTGTTCATATGAAAGGCTCCTGTATTCGGCAAAGTTGTTCAGTTAAACTAGACCTATGCTATGGTAAACAGTTCAGTTCAGAATTCACTGACCGGCGGCGCTAGAGCGCAATGTCACTACTATTTTTGATACTTTGCTTTTTCGTCTTGGCTAGATAGAAGGCTTTTGTATTCGGTAATGTTGATTAAAGCCCTACAGTAAAAGTATGGACGACTGTCACCACAAAACTGAAAAAAGCTGTTCCAATCGAGCAAAACGGTGCATTTTGACGGTTCGATTGGAACAACTTTTGACAGACGTCCATACATTTACTGTAGGGCTTTAATGTTGATCAGGTGGACTAGGTTTATTGAATGGTTGACAGCTCAGTTCACCGTATCTCCTAATTGGGGAACATGCGTAAAATGACGTAGCTTTTGAGGGTCGTAGAGGGTTGGTTTCAGGAGTTGCGATCGGTTATGCGACGACTAAAATATTTTACGTCATTTGTGGATGGTCTCTTGTTTGCTTTTCTTTTACAGCTCACCTAGATATCCTTTCATAGGCAAAGTTGCTCAGACGGACTAAACATATGTATATGCGCGCGCCATCTATGACCAATTTTAAATTTCCAAAATTCACCTCCATAACCCGATGGTACCATCAATATCGAGTTAAGGGGAGTTGACTGTAAGTGTTTGCTTTTACTTACTGATCAAACTTGCAAATGCTCATTACAGATAAAATGCTATGTTTCGGAATTATGAAACTATGTGATATTATTATAATATTTTAATATATAGATTTTGATTTTTCACTTGCTTGAATGTTTTTAAAAAATCGACATATTTTAAAAATTTCTGTATTTACACCAAAAATTGTGATTTTTTTTTAAATTATGCCATTCGATTACTTATAGCTTGAAACGGATAATGTGATTGGAATCAAGTCGATAGGTTGTATCGTTGTCGAAAAGTCGTTAAAACCCGTACCGTGTTAATCGCGAAAAACTGTGTAAAAAAGTCTTCAGTGTATATGTTAGATGCAAGAAGAGGAGCTACAGTTTGTCGAGCAGTTTGTGTGTGACACATAAAATCTATTAATTTTGCTTTCAGATGGTCACAATAAGCGATTAGCTGTAATGAGCAATCGCGATGAGTGAGCAATCAGCGATCATAAAATCGCTAATTGTGACCCTCTGAAAACAAAATTTACAGGTTTCATCTGTCATGCACAAACTTTACCTCCTCTTCTTGCATCTCAAAAATGAAAAATATTAATTTAATAATAAAATACCGTGCCGATTCAAATTTCGGACACTTAAACTCGAATTTCGGACACTTTTAAAAGTTGATTATCTCGGTCGAATATGATCCACATGTCTTGTAAATTTTAAATTTTTTTGACTAGTGCCCTCCACGATCATCTAACATTATTACTTTGTTTCTAACTGGATGTAATATTTAATTAAAAAGGAAAGTGTTCGAAATTTGAATCGGAACGGTATATAATTAATAATTGCGAATAATAGCATTTTTGCTGTAATGATCAATTGCAACAGTGACGCTGATCAAGTAAACAAGATTTATTGAAAGATTGATCAGTTCAAAATTCACTCATTAGATGTCGCTAGTGTGCCATGCATTTTAGAATTCCTCCTACACGGCCGTTGAATCTGACTCATATTTTAGTTCCGTTCACTAAAATTCGCATAAACGTAGGTCACTCATAGACTGAGTAAATTTTTACTCAAATATGAGTAAACGTAACTCATATGAGTCAGATTAAACGGATACTTGAAATTTTGACTATTGTGGACAATTCTGAACTGGGTTGTAGGACATGTTTTGTTGTGATTGATGTGGTTTGATGCATGTAGAGCATCGTTTGGAGAATGTCATAGATTGTCTGAGATCTTGGACGAATTGAGAGAAGGGACGATGCATAACTGACGTAGCATTTTAGCGTGACCAGCCATGTAGGGGGAGGATGACTAAAGTTGTTTACGTTTTTTTAGGTTTGATGAAGCACCAACTTTAGATCCCTTCCCCTTGTAGCGTATTTTTCACATGGCTGGTAACCCTAAAATGCTACGTCATTTATGCATCTTCCCGGACTTGGAAAAAAATGGTACTTAGAAGTAGTTGATGTAACTTTGTTGAGAAAATATTCAAGTAGATAAGGGAAAATGTTCAACAAACATTTGATCAATTTTTCTGCCCCTAAGGAATTTTTGGGTGTTAAATGCCACCTACGCCACCTGCATAAAATTCTGAGACCCTTCGGCTCAAATCTGCCTGAATACAACAAAAAATCTCCATATGCCAAACACATACTTTACTATCCCTTCATGTAACTTACAAGTACAACATATCATTATAGCATTTAATGATTTCATAATTCCGAAAAACATTGTTTATAGCGAAGTGTTACTTACGCTCAATTCTGTTTTCACGCGATTTTTTTTTTTTTTGTTCAATGTTATCCTCATTTAGGTTGGTTGGTTTTTTTATAGAGGTTTAACCCATCTTGCGGTCGTTCACCTCTGGTCCTGATTTAGAATGAAAACAGAAATTTAAATAACACCATATTTTTCTTACATTATTTTCTGATATTTTAAAACAAATTGCAATAATTTTGAAAACAAGTCGCGGAAACACAATTGAGTGTACAGTTATGATTTTAATATAAATTGATATTAAAATCATAACAGTACACTCAATTCAAGGAGATCAAACAAGTTCAATACGGGTTAAGTTTACCTCATTGCTTCAAAAATCATGTTTTGTATAATTTCGAATGTTGTTGCGAAAATCGGGGAATTGTAAAAAGACACTAATATACAGGGAACACTAAAAATAACTAGTATAGCAAATTTTTGGTCAATTTCAATTCTTTTGCTTTGTTGAATGCTTTTATTCGACTGGGAAACTAATATAGGTGGTGTAGCCACGAAAATTTCCATGGCTACCAGATATCGGAGATATTCCGGCTTTCCGAAGGGCTTGTATAACTAGCTAAATTTGTGATGAAATTTTTATTGGATGCCGGATAGAAATCTATATTTTTAGAGAATACACAGAAAGAAGAATGATATGCCTAGAACTTAAAGCGGCCTATAATCAACCGATATATGGCCATTTACCTGGAATCTCCTGGAGGTTCCGAGAGTGGACAATGTGGTCAATGATGCATTTAAAGTCTATCGAATACCTATTGATTAACATCCACGAAGAAAGAGCTGTCGCACGGCATGTTTTGGCTACTATGTCACACTATGTCACACTGCAGAATACAGTGTTGCCCGCCCACAAAACAGTTGCTTGATCATGTCATAAGATTATCAATCTCTTGAACAATTAATAACTATTTATTTTGATGTTTGGCTGAAAAACAATATCCCGCAAAGTTGTAGCTGAGGAAATTTTCCATAAGAATAGCTTTAGAAATTTTTAACATTACAATCTGGAAGAAGGATAAAAGACTACGAAGAAAAAGTTTGGTTTCCCCTTAGTAATTCCCATATAAACTTCAAATGGTTTTTGCACAGTCAGTTTCTTACCAAATCAGTTCAAACCTTGGGAGGCTAAACTAGACCCGATTTGGAACCGTTTGAGCACTGTGGAGCGAAAATGTCAAATTTTGCATCAGTCTAATGGTTATTTTCATGGCTACTCCATACAACTAAAAAGCATTCGTCTGGAAAACTAATATTCCATTCGAATGCTTTTGAAAGAATTAATTATTTTTTTACTTTATCGAGACTTTTAGCCGTGGGCTGGTTCGTCTCTTCTTGAAAGAATTAAAATCAGACCATATTTGACGACGTTCCAACACTCCAAAGCTGACAGAACATTTACCTATCCTAGTTATTTTGAGTATCCCCTGTATACAGTCAACTCCCCACAACTCGATATCCATTAACTCGATATCAAGTTATAGAACCATAGAAAAAATGAACTTCATGGTTACCGTTATAACGATTTCGTATGGCAGTGTATAACACGATGGTCCCTTCAATATCGAGTAGTAGAGAGTTCACTGTAATTTCGGAAATGTCGACTTCGGCAATACCTTAACCTATTATCGTCAGGGGTTAAACCAAGTCCTAGAGCACTCAAATTTGGCCAATAGATGCTCTGAAACACAATGTATCCACGGTATCCCGTCACAAAAGGTCGAAAATATTCTAAGGTACCACAAAAGGCCGAAAATTTATCAAAAACCGAATTTGTTGAAAACCGCATCCAAACAATCTGTTAGCCTTTCTGCTCGCACAACTGACTCGGCTCGTTAATGAAATTAGATGTAGAGGTGTTACCATCTGCTGACTTTTTGGGAAAAACCAGTAAGTGGTAAGCTGCGGGTAAGAGAAAGGTAAGGAAATGAGAGATGCGATAGAGATGAACGGTTACGTTACGGTTTATTTACGCATACACTACATTCTGATTGGGTTTGCGCAACGAGTTGAAGTAAGTAACAAGAACGTTCAACAAAACAGCCCAAAAGCAATATCGCTGCTAATGACGATTTTCGATTTTAGAATACCTCCCATATTGAATTTCATCTTGAACGAAGACATCATCGTCATTGAATACTCAAACATCTGGAAAAAATAAAACTAACTATCACTTTCTCTCTCATTCAGCGTCTGAAGCCTTCCTACTCTTACAACTGAGTCACCTCGTTGAATTGTTCGCATTCACAAAAAACGAAACCATCTTGTCATTAAATCGTCGTTAAACACTCAAACAAACATAAAACTAAAGCTACCCAAATTTTAAGATTTTTTATATTTTCATTACGGAAATCGAATGGCTATTAAGTAGCTTCCATTATATTTTATTTCGAAGATGCAGAATAATAATTATTGTAACTTTACTTTTATAATGTAATTTGTGCGATCGCACCGGTCCACTTTGTCGCTTTCCTGAGCTTTTTCGGCCTTTTGTGTTTTCGGCCTTTCGTAGTACTCCCATGCCAAAATTGAGCTCTCAAGGACGTTGTTTCCCCCCGACGGTAATAGGATAAGGTATTGCCGAAGCCGTCATTTACCCTACATAAAGCAGTATGAGTAGAGTAGGCACCAGACATTTTTTTTTTTAAATATATTTTCTTTATCTTCAGGTACGATGCGCGTTTCGGGGATGCATTTTGGAACAGTTCGAAATATTCGATGATGCAGTACCTATACATGATGATGACCTCGTGGGCGATCGTATGTGATGTCTGGTACCTACCACCGATGACGCGAGACGAAAATGAGTCAGCCATAGACTTTGCCAATCGCGTGAAAAGCGTCATCGCCAAGCAGGGCGGTTTGGTGGATCTGGTGTGGGATGGGCAGTTGAAACGAATGAAACCAAAGAAAGAGTGGAAGGAGAAACAACAGGAGGAATTCACCAAACGGCTTAAAGGTGAATGAAAACCAATTAGGGATGTGAAATGTGCGATGACATTGTAGGCTGACACTGAACCGTAGTAAATCGAACTCCTTGTGTACTAGCGTGAAGATTGTTTGAGAGAGATGTGTTGATTCATAAGGTGGAAAAAAAGAAACAATGGAAATGTCGAAATACGAGCATGGAACAATTTTATGAAGCTCTAGTCTGCGAGAGAAAGACAGATTACAATGTAACTATTAACAAGCAGCCAAAATTGTGTGTAAAGCCTACTAAAAATAGATTTAAATGTTAATTTTACATTTAAAAGTGAGAAAAATGATATTTATTGCATCCACGTTTGATCAACGTCCAACTATGTAAATGTCGTACAATAGAATGTTGAGTTGAAATAGGAGACAAAACTAATTTAACGGAGAAAAAAATAAAGTTATAATTTGTTTGTAGCAATCCAGTTGTTCAATATTCGGCATACCAACGCAATGAACAGAACCAAGCCTTTATTTATTCCAATATCGTCAGCCATTGTGACCAAGAATCCAACGTGGATCGCATTTAGGAAGATAACAAGTCCTATGTATTATATCAAACACACTTTACACTGCTTTAAAATCGATGTAATATATTAAGTAGACAGTAAACTACTAAATAAGACTGAAAATCTTGTAATTTTTGTCTATGAGTGACAGTAACGATAAAGAAGAAATGAGCTAGAGTGAACAAAGTGATCATTCAATAATCCAAATCAGTACACCATAAATACTAAACAGGCACAATTTCAGTGGCAACACAATACGGATTGTCCTATTTGTTCAAGCTGGAAGCTGAAGCTAAGAAAGTTAATTATGTCAATTGTCATACAAGTACATAATGGACAATCAAAAGAGAAAATAGGCAACTCGACTAGCTTAGTCTTATTTGGATCATGCATGGAGTATCGGGTCGTACAAAGAGAACAAAACTGGAAAATGTAAGACAAAGCTGCCCTTATTCAGCCAGAAACTACCAAAACCATATGTCAATATATTATTTGGAAATGCTAAAATATATCTCGATTACTTTTGTAAACAAATTCTGCTCGATTAATTTTGTAAACAAATTCTGCTCGATTACTTTTGTAAACAAACTCAATTACTCCTTTTGTAATCAAAGATTCAAATGTCAATTTGTCGAAACTCACTTGTTTTCCTAATACCTTGTTCAGACATACAAAGTTCACTGTTGTACTACCGTTGCACTGCTTTAAGCTAGTACCACAAACTGTACTTTTTGAGGTACTAGATTAAATGAGTACAACGGTACTAATTTGTATATCTGTCTTTGGCATAACAAGGTGCTGCTATTAGTTTGCGTTGATGTGCTAAGAGTCTCGACAAATTGACGTTTGAATCTTTGTTTACAATATTTTCAAAAGCAGATAAGTCCCTTTAAAAAAGTAAGCGACTTATACATATTCACTCAATTCTCAAGTTAAAAATAAACCCAAATTAAATTCTGAAGCCTTCTAAACATGCTTATGAATTGTTTAAATTATTTCCGGATCTGTAGACTTTAATACAAGAAATCCCCTTGAAACATCCTAACTTATTTTTGAAAATAATGGATAGCCTCGTCTATTGATGGACAACAAAGCATAACATTCCGAGACACTATCGGTATTTTGATACCGCTTTGTCATTCCACAATTTCAATTTTACTAACATTCAATATGACTTCTACGCGGAGAATAACTAAAATTTCAGCAGTTTTTTTTTAGGTTAGCACCACATGAAAAGATTCCACAATGTTATCTCTCCATAATCCTCGGGAATCGAGCATGGATCCCAATTAGTCCCAATGACCATTAAGGATTCGTTTATGTTGGAGTCGATCTCCAGGAAATTCTCGTCGTTCCATTGATCTGGTAGGGTCACTTGTTGCGTTGAATTTTTTGTTTTGTCGCTAACGAGAAATCCAGTTTTTAGTACAATCGTTGATTGATCGATATGTTAAACTCCAAGTGTGAACCAACCGTTCTGTTTCAAAGAAGACAATTAAATCATTTAGCACTATATGAAAACAATTTACATATTACAAAACTTAAATTTAGATTTTCGGTTTTATTACGTTTGCTTGAATAATTTGCGTCATTGATCGGAATATCCTCGTTCAAAAATATAAAGTGATAATCAAACTAGGTTGAACCTGTTATACAATAAAGTAATTCCATCAGAAAAATAGAGATTAACCAACGCATATTCAATGGTTCTTGTGCCGCATTATTTCAATTTTAATTCTCTCTGTCATAAAGCCAAACATTGAAAATTTGCAGATCGCAGAGGTAAAACACTGTTGTTTTTCGTATGCAAAAGTTTCCAGTGCTCCTAGAAAGAATAAGATAAGTTATGAATTAAGCGATATGTTTATTATTGAGTAGGCTGTCGGGATGAAAATAAAAAATCGATTCTTTGTTAACAAACAGTGTATTATTTCGTTTCGCTGCCGCTCATTGCATGATACCATAAACTCACTCACTCAGTCATAAATCCTTAGCACCGTCAGTGACGCATAGGGCCAACGTGAATGATTTCCATATTGGTCGGCTGCTTGCCTTCGCTTTAGTTAAATTCCTATCGACTTGCATGATTTTCATGTTAATGTTTAATGAACCTCCGCTTGCTTGCAGATTTAGTTTCCGTCCCTTCGTACTGTTTAACCGACACAGCTCCATTGATTGTTCAACTTTTCCCCGAAAACAATTTTCTTGAAAGATTTATCCCGGTTTTATATCCGGAGAACTTTGAGATTAGGGCGTAATTGCTTTTGTAAACAAACACGTCAATCGCCAATTTCTCGCAAATTAAAGCTCAATCTAAAAAATTAACGGCACAAACAGGTAGAGAAATGATTCCTTTATCATTTAGTATGGTTTGTTCGCGATAATAAGTTTCAATTTACGATTAATCGGCGATAGACGTGTTTGTTTACAAAAGCAATTACGTCCAAATCTCAAAGTTCTCCGGATATAAGGTTCCTCGAATGGTACAATTCCCCGAAATCACAATTTCCCCGAAAAAAAACGATCCTCAGTAGGATATCTGTAAATCGGACATCAAGGTGTTGGTTATAGCGAGGACCGACCAATATAATGTTGCTACTTTTGCCCCTTAGGATTTTTTAAGTGTTAGACAAGCACAAAATGTCAAAAATGTTGCAAGATTTCTGAATCAGAAAATAAGGTTTGTCACAGGGTTTATCAGCAATTTCTAATAACTAATCGTTCATATTCCCTCAGCTTCTACATAAATTTTTCATTGGTTTCGTATATGGCTTCTAGTTGTTTCTAGTTTTTAAATTTAATTTATTCTACAATGAACAAGCCATCGTACGCGTCTCAATGATTGGAAAAGAAGAACCTGCGTTCAATTCACGAGCTGTTAACGACCGGGAGTTGGCAATTCCACTCTCCCCATCCAAATCGCTTCAAACATGGTCCCATCCTTACTCTCATAATATGACCATGTATGTTCAATATTAGTTTAACTGTTTTTTTTTTGACGTAGGACTACGTCTTTGATTTCTATATGGGGGTACACTTTGTGAAAACCGAAAATGGAACATGTAACAAATTAAGAAAGATTTTGAGTGTTAATAACTCAGCTGTCCCAGGTCCAATTTTAATAATGTTATCACCCATCGGTCAGAAATATGGCTACGCATCAATAACAATGTTATATGCGACAGTTAGAAGATACAGCGGCGCCGGTGGTGTAGTGGTAAGCGTGATTACCTCTCACCCCAGCAGGCCTGGGTTCAATCCCAGTCGGCGCCGCCGGGATGTTCTGAGGCATAACATCTCTGATCACGCCTTCCTTCGGAAGGGAAGTAAAGCCGTTGGTCCCCGGTTCATGAGTTGATGGGTCGATAGGTAGGGTCCAGGTGTGGGAGCTGCCTTCCTGGCGTCGGTAGCATTGGTGCTCAGCACGGAAAACAAGATCGACGGAAAACAAATCCAAGGAAAAAAAAAAAAAAAAAAGTTAGAAGATACTGAGAGGTTAGCACATATCATCGGCAAGAGACGTGCGTGTGAGAAAATTTGCGAAAAAATCTAAGGGCACCGGTGGGATTCGAACCCACAATTCCCATTCAGTACACGGGTGCATTGCCAATTATACAACGGTGGACCTATGGTCTACGGATGTATTTGGCTAATGACATATGAGTTTCGAATCCGTTTCCCTCCCTTAGTCTTTTTGCGCAAGCGTTCTCAATACACAACAATCGTCTATTACCGACGATATGTGCTTGTACCGCAACCACTCAGTATCGGTCGATGTGAACAAACACAACTCGTCTCTGTTCTACATCACACATGTTGGATACGGGATGTCCAATGCAGTATGAATAGAGCAATGAGCTGCTGGCCTCACCTCCGACCACCGGGCCATAGTGATGATATATCATCAAATTAATTTTCGATTTAGCATATAACATATAAAAATTGACTTTCAGTCGCTAACCTAAATATATCATCACTATGGCCCGGTGGTCGGAGGTGAGGCCAGCAGCTCATTGCTCTATTCATACTGCATTGGACATCCCGTATCCAACATGTGTGATGTAGAACAGAGACGAGTTGTGTTTGTTCACATCGACCGATACTGAGTGGTTGCGGTACAAGCACATATCGTCGGTAATAGACGATTGTTGTGTATTGAGAACGCTTGCGCAAAAAGACTAAGGGAGGGAAACGGATTCGAAACTCATATGTCATTAGCCAAATACATCCGTAGACCATAGGTCCACCGTTGTATAATTGGCAATGCACCCGTGTACTGAATGGGAATTGTGGGTTCGAATCCCACCGGTGCCCTTAGATTTTTTCGCAAATTTTCTCACACGCACGTCTCTTGCCGATGATATGTGCTAACCTCTCAGTATCTTCTAACTGTCGCATATAACATATAAAAATTGACTTTCAGTCGCTAACCTAAATGATCAATAACAATGCTTCCGAATGTTGATTTTCAACAAGAAACTATTGAAAAACTGGTAAATGTCCAGCATTGTCCAAAATCGTCGAATTAACTAACAAATCCACCAATTACCTACATGCATATGCTGCTTCCCCAGCACAGTCGTCAGAAAGTAGTAAGTAGACGAAACAAGTCGAAGTGGCATTCGCCTCCGATCTTCGGGCGCGTGCGAATAGGGAGGATGGAATTGCGTAATATTTTGCACACTCATCGCCATACTCAGAACCACACGTTCCCAACGACCACACCACTGTGTGGTGGTGTTCGGTCGTCGAAATTAGTAGCAGCAGTAGCAGTGCTTTCGGCGTGTGGCGTTGAAAATTGTTCTCCAGTAACAACGAAAGGCTGCCTGAAAGCAGCGAGCTGCAGAGCCCACATAAGCAACCATCAAAGGAGGAAGAAGCTGCACCGCTATGCTATGGATCGGAATCAGTAGCTCTTCGTGAGTCGCTGCGGGTCGGTCATCTATGCCAAGCGTGTCACCCTCGCTCCAAACGACATACAGCTCGACAGCCTCATCCGTGTTGAACACCCAGCTCAGAATTACTCAACCATCACTAGAAAAGGGTCCTTTTCAGGGCCACCAAAAATGTGTTAAGGAGTATTATTTGGACATTGGTCAAGGTCATCAGTTCCCGCAAGCAGCTAGCTATCAAGGCGCAACCTGTCTATAGAAGGTGTGGCCTGAATATATTGGTGCAATTAGTTTTTCCTCGGCTTTCATTCCGCACGATTCGTTTCTTTCGTTTAATAAAGCACCCTTGTAGTGACGTTGAAAAGATTGTTTCAATCGGCGCTTACATATGAAATTTAATGTGGATTATAGATTTTTTTGTAGGTTACCAAAATTTATGAATATGTTTGCCACTAAATGTTGAGATAATTTATTGATTATTGAATTATCACACTGTATACCATGAAAAAGCAGCCTGTTTGTGAGTTTTTGCCTGTTTTGTTTTGAAGTAAGGAGTTATCATAAAAAACAAATCGCCAGCGGGTATTTCCCGGTGACTTTACAAATAAATAAAATCAAACAAAATCATCATGCAGAACTAGCTAGGATTTGTTTTACTTCATATTTCTCAAAATTGCTTTCAAGTGTTAAGACATCGTCTCCCGCAAAGTTTACATTTTTCTTTCTACCAACACATACATCAGGGCTAGATAGATCTCCACAGGATCTATAGAATCCACGCAATTTCAAAAAACCAAAATGCACAGCATTACGAAAAATGGTTAGTTTTCGACCAATAGCAGATAGATTTTAATTCTAAACAAGCCAAACGATTGGAAATTTATCTACCAATCTGCTAAAATGAACACTTAGTTAATTTTCAATAGGTCACTATTGAAAAATACCAAATGTCCAACTGTTGCAATGGTGATCAATATTATCACCGAATGTCTGAAAACAGCGCATTCCCTAACACAGACTTAAAAATCGAATTCGATGCGGTCCCACTGAACGGTGCTCATTCAATCATCGTAAGTGGTGGTGTCCAGTCCAGTAGCAGCAGGAGTGCTTTCAACAACAACAACAACAACAACGAAAGGCTGCCTGCAAGCAGCGAGCTGCAGAGCACATATGAGCAACCATAAAGAAGGAGGAAGAAGTTCCACCGCTAGGCTAGGATCTGAATCAGTAGGTTGTCGTGCTCAGCTCAGCATTACTCAACCATCACTACAAAACGGTCCTTTTCAGGACCACCATAAATTTGTTAAGAGTATTATTTGGACATTTTTCAAGGTCATCAGTTCCCGCAAGCAGCTAGCTATCAAGGCTCAACCTGGTCTTTATAGAATGTGTGGAATTGTAGGCCCGAATGTATTGGTGGGATTAATCATAGTCTAACCATTTTCCAGAACACGCTGGTAGGAAGTGTTAAAAATCCATATAGAATTTGAGAGAAGTGGGAATAATTCACTTTGGGTGTATATTCAGTCCCCAGAAAGCCAATAAAATCAAATTTGTGAGAAAATTAGCTCTCACGAGTTCAATCTCTCGTAGTCCCTCCTTTTTTACATATTCTGCACAAACGAAACTTTTCGCCGCGCCCTATTCATATAATTCGGAAGAGAATCCTGTTAGGGGTGAATTGAATACACTTTAATACCAAAATGCACAAAACTTAAAAACTCATAAATTACAGAAAATTCAAAATACACCTCTTAAAGTCGGGTAGATGAATCGAAAATACTCAAGTTGAAAGTCCCTTGGATTTTCTTCATCAACTTTCTCTTTAAAATAAATACTACAAATTTGATACGCTTACAAATAAAAAACGGAAAGAGTTAAGATAATTGATGATTGTTCATTTAAAAGAACTAAATGTTCACATTTGTTCCGTTCACTAGCGGTCCTACGTCAAGCTTCCGTTCGTGCCCCTAGGCCCAGACCCTTCTACTTTTTCAGAATTAACATTATTTTCACTGAAAAACACAT